TCTCTCAAACATGGTAATTATCTTTCATAAATTGAGGAATTAAAAAATAAACTTAATTGATTATCAAACTTGGTACTCAAAAAACAACACAATCAAAAAATCACAAACAAAACTGATGATTATCACTGTTCTTACATGAATAGACATAAGAAACAATGCAGTAATCCCCATGCCAGGGTTGTGAAAAGAGCACCTAGACACTCATCAAGGCTCGCATCAAGGTGATGCACACCTTAAGCGCTTTAATGAGCATATGGCAAGGCAATTTTGCTCAAACGCAATGGAGGCACACGAGGGTCATTTATATATTAACTTTGATTGGAATATTTGGTATGCAGAATGCAAATTTGAACTATAAGTATAAATATAGAATTCTAACTTCAAATGCTACTGAAATTTGCATATCTAGTCTAATCTAACTTCAAGCATAAATAAGAATGTTGAAATAGGTTAAGGATACTAATAATTCTTAAAGTAGTTGTATTTTGCAAAATATTTGTGACATTCATTGTAGGTCAGTGAAATTTAATATTAAGAGATGAGTAATTTTGGTGGAAAAATGACGATGTAATTTCTTCTATGCTCATGAAATTAGCTAAATCGAGTCGTATATGTTGTCGTTGTATGATTGTATAATTTTTAAAAGCCAGATATCTTGTCAAATTTGTTGCATTCAGTTATATTTGTAGTATAATCAATAATTTTCACAAATTATCCACAACATGTGCCTCATTTCAAGGAAGTACGAGCTTCGCATTGTGCCAAGCCCTCAAGGCAACTTGGCGCACTTTTTGTCGACAACATTGTCCATTCCACACTTTGTTTCAATGTCCAGATCAATAGTGTTCTTTAATTTCCAAATCTGCCACCACCTCAATGCCACCTATCCTAATATGCACATTGACGCATATCATACAAAACTCACATGTGAATTGACATCTCTGTAAGAAAATTTGATTTTTTTTGTTCAGCTCCAACAACAGCATATAGATATGGATTAGTTCATCATCTCGGCATAATTTCAAATAACACCATAGTCTTGTAGAAAAGGTTATGCAAGGGATGACAGTAAGTAGATAAACTTATCAATTTCGGATGAAAAGATATGTATATTTTGATCATGGAATAGACCAAAACAACAAAAGTCCATAAATTTTAAGTGTGGGCTGCCAAAAAAACTCATCTTTTTTCTCACAGGTCAAATGAATTAAATTTTGCCCCTTGTCAAAATGAGAGTTGGAAATAAGAGAGTAAGACAGTGACTTGAAAGTGTGAAAGAGACTCTAAATCAGAATAAGAGAGAGAAAAGAAGCTGGATTAAAATAAGGGACTCTGACTCTAAAGAAAAAGGACTCATGTTGGAGGCTAGAGTGCTAGACTAAGATGAGAGAGACTTAGAGGGCAATTGTGAGAGTGATTAAGAGAACTGAGAGTCCAAAAATGTGCCCTAAACCTGGTGACCTTTCTTAAATTCAAGCGATACTCATATAGAGTAACAACATAAACCTGGCCAAATTTAAATGGACCTTTGATTTTTTTTCCAAAGTCCAGACCGAGTCTTAGAAATTTGAACTCAAAATATTGAATTTTTCTTCTTGGATTCAGGTAAACCCGCCAAAGTTGCACCCCTAGAGACCGTGGAATTATCACCATTTGTAGCCTCATCAACAATAAGGCAATTTGGGGACTTCTTGTGCTTAAATTGCTGGGGAGTGTGGAATAATCTCTCCTATTGCTTTTTGTAATGTACAACACACATTGTACATGACGGAAAAGGGACGAATGAATATTACAAACATTGAAAAGTATGGAAACTATAAGACAGACCACAAAAACATAGTATCACATGATCATATACATAGAGGAAATCAATCCACAAGAAAATGCCCTATTGAGGATGGTCTTGAAAACAAGCAAGCCACAAGCACTTATCAAGACCAAACCACAAGGTTAGCATCCATTGGAACCAAATTATTCCACAATCACCAAGTTGTTTCGACTTCAAAAGCTGTGAAACAATAAAGACAGTATATCACATGTCTCCCGTAAGAAGACCTCCCCTCTAAAAAAACAAAAAACAACAAAAAAATGACTAAATAACCACTTCATTAGGTAATCCACATTATACTAAGGTATCAAACAATATTAAAATCGAAGCAATTGAGCATCTCTCTATGCTTGACATTGCCTCGCAAAGTCAGTGATTTACAACTCTCGTTATCTAGAGTCTTCGAAACATGCATCCAAACCTAAAATTGAACTTAGAATCCAAATTTATATTGAAGTTCTGCTTCCATCATCATTAAAATTCCCAGGTCCCAAATCACCCAAGTGTTGAAATTCGGTCAAGAAAAGACGTGAACCAATGTTTGAATGTAAGCTGAACTGGCCCCACCAGCATCGAGAGCCAAACTACTTTTCTCACAATATAGCGTACATTCCAAATCTTTATGTAGGGTTTACAATTAAGGTTATTCGACATGAACATTCCGACCATTAACTAACCTAAATTTCAGTTCAAAAGACATATATTCAGAGTCAATCGCGAATTGTTTGGGTATCTGAATGTACTCTATGAGGTATGTGAGCGCAAGTGTTCATGAATTGTGAGTAATGAAGAAAAAAAAAACATACGAATCGTAGGAAGAAGAAGGCTGGCCACGGTCTGGGGCAGATGGGCTTCGATCCGCCATTGTTGAATATCTGAGTTCTTTAGGTTTGTGGCGCGTTTTGTGACTGAACTTTGCTTGTGAGCTTTGTGCACAGAGATAGTGAAGAGGCATACATGTAGAGAAAGGGAAATCAATATTTTAATATTTTTTTTGTTAAAACTTTTTCCCGCCATTATGCTTATAATATTCATTAACACAATATTGGACCGAGTATGCATAATAAATAAATTAATTATAGATAAAATTACTCAAAAAATATACGGTATAATTTATTTATATATTAGTTATACACAATTTATATACAACACGGTTCCGAAATGATACGATTTGTTAAATATAAGTGTAAAGTATTTTTTTATACGAACATATTAAAATTTAACATGAATCTGTTTTGCCCAACCCAATTAAGAGACTTATACTCAATTAAAATATTATGAAGTTAAGAATATAACAAATCTCAAAATAATATTGAAATGGTAGTTGATAATGCTCGGAAAAATGGCTCAAGTCCATCAAATGATGTGCTAGAGACATTTATAAATTAGCTGAGTTGAAGGTCAATTAATGGAGAACAAAAGAATACAATGCCTAAGTGGTTTGTCTCGGTCAAGAGACTAAGGTTACATCCATTGTTAAAAAAGCTCATGCTCCTTAGAATTGTATATCATTTGATTTTAGGGAATTACAACAGTATATGTTGGTTCATGGCCTTTACCAGAACAAAATGCTTATAACTTGACTTATTACCTTTAGAAATATGAGAGCGCAACGAAGAAGATGAAGCTCCCTTCTGCTAGGTAACAGTGTCATATTTATATAATGCCTCTTCTAGGGTTTTTTATTGCTCCTTTTTTTTAGCTGATTATGTGGGTCTTTCGTCGCCTCTATTTTGTAGCAACATTTATCATTCGAAGCCACTATTCCCACGATCCCTGGATAGTTATGTGAACAAACTCTATCTGCTCCAGGGAGTACGTGATTGTCATAAGTGCTAGAAATGGTTCATTTGTTTTCAGAACACGTGGCGCAATGGGGGTGCTTTAGGACAGGCACTGAACTAGGCACCTTACAAACTGTGGGCGCCCTGTTCAGGCCGTTATGCTAACAAGGGTTTCTTGAACTTTATTGGGCTCTTAGACCATGGCAGCTCATATCCAAGATCCCATCACTATCAATTGATTGACATTTGTAACAAGGGGATATTTATTATATATATTTTTAAAATTACGAGGGGAGTTAAAACCCTTTATAATAATGATTAATTAGCCTGATATCTATCATATAAAATATAACAATTTTCAATAAGTTTATCTAACGGTCTTAAATAGATTTATCTAACGGCTACCAATATCCATCTTAAAATTATTTATATTACACTGTACCTTTAGGCACGGGTTACCCCTAATCCACAATAGGGTGAACTGACTTACATGGCAGAAGGTTGAAAAATTATTTGCTTACATAGCATATTATTTATTAATTTTTGTGTGGTCTAACTGCTTATTTATTTTAATATTATTGATTAATGATATCACATCACCTTGCCATGTGATATCACTATTCTAATGATTATTTTCTCCTACTTTGGGTTGTCTTTCAATATTTAATTATATTGAGAGATATTTAAATTGTCAATTAAGGAAAATATAATTTATTGTTTTTTAATAAAAATGTTCTTATTTATATAGATACATTACAATCATATTTTAAATATAAAAACTACTTCATGTGAGTTTAGGAATTTTAATATCACTCCAGCAACAATGCATGTAATATTGTTTCAATAAATCATCTATTGTTTTCGGTAAAAAAATTAAATTACTGAAAATAACTTGTAGCTAGTTTATGAAAAAACAACAATAAATAAATTTAATTATTGGTGAACAGGTAACCAAAATAATAAATATTTAAATTGAAAAAACAAAATATAATTAATTATAAACACGATACCATTAATAAATAAATTGGATGAGTATTTGTGAAACTAATAAAAAAATATATACAATACAACTTATTTATACACTAATTATATAAGATATCAAACTGATAAAATAATTGTTAAAAAAAAACTGATAAAATATAAATTAATAAATAAATCTATGATAAATAGAATATTTTTTTTTGTACAAACCCCAGACCCGACACGAACTCGCCTTTGTCGACACGTTTGACAGGCCAGTTTTGGGCATTTGAACCACCCCCACGTTCAAGTTCAGTTTCGCCTGGGTTTGAACTTCGTCGCGCTGAAAAGGATTAAAAAAAGGAAACCAAGCAATCGCTAAACTTTTCTTCTGTTGCGCCAGGAAGGAACAAAATCAAACCTTGAGAATGGGTCTGAAAATCGGGGGGCAAGTAGAGAAGGTGAATGGGAAGGAACTGAGTTACAGCGAATTCGTAGAGAGATACATGGTGAAAAACCAACCGGTTGTTCTGACTGGTTTAATGGATGGCTGGAGGGCTTGCAAAGATTGGGTATTGAACGATGGACGCCCCAATCTTCGATTCTTTTCTGCCAATTTTGGAAGTTCCAGAGTTCAGGTACGTAATTGATCCACTTTGCGTAATCTATCGAATCAAATTTGTAATGAATTGCTTCATCGGAGCTCTATTATTGCTGTTATTTGTATATATGACTGTCCATGTTTACGAGGGCATGTGCGTGTATGTGTTTAAGGGGTGTTTTAGATGGAGAAAGCTGAATTTGGGTTCTGAAGTTAGAATTTGATATCCATGCTATATTATCTATTGACTTAAATGAATTGACTTAAACTGGAATGAATTGGAGCTTATTTACATGGCTTAGGAACAAAACATCTCAGCACGTGTGGATGCATGTGAAACACGTTGAATTCGCTAAAAGAACTAGACATATTATCTGTTAAATATGTATAGAGTGGAGATCAAAGCAGTATTCAGCTAAAGGAACCTTTACTAGAACACTAGTCCTACCAAAATGGGTGTCAGGATGAATATCTTGTCCTGAAATATTATTTTTGGCGTTATTTGTATTAATTGACTAATTTCAAGCCAGGTTGTCTTGCTTAATGGCATACTTTTTCGCCATTTATACTGTTTGTACCTAGCAATGGCCCCTTAGGTGAAGTACTTGTCATGAAAGACCAAAGGAAAAGAAAGAAGCTTTGAGGAGTTTAGGACAAATTGAGTATTCTGAATCACCTAATATCAAATTTAGACTGTGGGTCCTCTGGAGATTGATACTCATCTGCCAGTTGATATTTGATCAATCGATCCACAAAAGTATTCACTTTCTGTTTTAATCCTCTGGAGATTGATACTCATCTGCCAGTTGATATTTGATCAATCGATCCACAAAAGTATTCACTTTCTGTTTTAAGTTCTAAATCACNCACGATACCATTAATAAATAAATTGGATGAGTATTTGTGAAACTAATAAAAAAATATATACAATACAACTTATTTATACACTAATTATATAAGATATCAAACTGATAAAATAATTGTTAAAAAAAAACTGATAAAATATAAATTAATAAATAAATCTATGATAAATAGAATATTTTTTTTTGTACAAACCCCAGACCCGACACGAACTCGCCTTTGTCGACACGTTTGACAGGCCAGTTTTGGGCATTTGAACCACCCCCACGTTCAAGTTCAGTTTCGCCTGGGTTTGAACTTCGTCGCGCTGAAAAGGATTAAAAAAAGGAAACCAAGCAATCGCTAAACTTTTCTTCTGTTGCGCCAGGAAGGAACAAAATCAAACCTTGAGAATGGGTCTGAAAATCGGGGGGCAAGTAGAGAAGGTGAATGGGAAGGAACTGAGTTACAGCGAATTCGTAGAGAGATACATGGTGAAAAACCAACCGGTTGTTCTGACTGGTTTAATGGATGGCTGGAGGGCTTGCAAAGATTGGGTATTGAACGATGGACGCCCCAATCTTCGATTCTTTTCTGCCAATTTTGGAAGTTCCAGAGTTCAGGTACGTAATTGATCCACTTTGCGTAATCTATCGAATCAAATTTGTAATGAATTGCTTCATCGGGGCTCTATTTTTGCTGTTATTTGTATACATGACTGTCCATGTTTACGAGGGCATGTGCGTGTATGTGTTTAAGGGGTGTTTTAGATGGAGAAAGCTGAATTTGGGTTCTGAAGTTAGAATTTGATATCCATGCTATATTATCTATTGACTTAAATGAATTGACTTAAACTGGAATGAATTGGAGCTTATTTACATGGCTTAGGAACAAAACATCTCAGCACGTGTGGATGCATGTGAAACACGTTGAATTCGCTAAAAGAACTAGACATATTATCTGTTAAATATGTATAGAGTGGAGATCAAAGCAGTATTCAGCTAAAGGAACCTTTACTAGAACACTAGTCCTACCAAAATGGGTGTCAGGATGAATATCTTGTCCTGAAATATTATTTTTGGCGTTATTTGTATTAATTGACTAATTTCAAGCCAGGTTGTCTTGCTTAATGGCATACTTTTTCGCCATTTATACTGTTTGTACCTAGCAATGGCCCCGTAGGTGAAGTACTTGTCACGAAAGACCAAAGGAAAAGAAAGAAGCTTTGAGGAGTTTAGGACAAATTGAGTATTCTGAATCACCTAATATCAAATTTAGACTGTGGGTCCTCTGGAGATTGATACTCATCTGCCAGTTGATATTTGATCAATCGATCCACAAAAGTATTCACTTTCTGTTTTAAGTTCTAAATCACGCAACACAATGTATATGAAATTAAAAATTGTTTGAGGATGGGTTTTTTTTTTTTTTCATTTACATTTTAAAGCATATTGTAAATGCACCGTGAAGCCTTTGAACTTAAAAATTTGATATGACAAACTGTAACTTGCAGGTTGCTGACTGTGCTACTAGGGAGTTCACAGATCAGAAAAGAGTAGAAATGTCAGTTGCAGAGTTCATTGACAACTGGCTTGAGGTTTCTTCTATGGATTATGATAATGCTTCAACACGTGAGTGTGATATCAAGAAGTCCCCGTTGTATTTGAAGGACTGGCATTTTGTAAAGGTGCAGGTTTAAACATGTGTCAGAACTATGTTAAAATTTACCTGAACACCTCAGGCAGTTATGTGGTTTACCAGAATTACAGCCAATATGTATGTACTTCAGTATACTCTGAATTCTAGTCTATCTAGATGGCCAGATGAACTGAATTAACTTTATCTTGGTATGTCAAACAAGTGCAAAGGAGCTGACTGCTCTTAGTTTTCTGAGACGTGACCATCTAGGAATCACACTGTTGAGACACTTATGTCAAGTCCAATAAAAAAAGCAGAACAACTTAACAACACAAGTCTTGAACTTTAGCATCTTAGTATGTATTTATTTTGTGATGTAAACGTGACATATGATTAGTAACAAAAATTATTGATACTGGAGAAATGTCACTAGTTGTTCCACGGAGTGTGGTGTCAAACATCCCTCTTTGCGTGTGTGTCATGTAATCGACTAGTATAACTCATAAATGAGCCTTTTGTGGCATGCTGGAATGTAATTTCAAAGATCCCAAGGGAAGCTCATTATTTCTAAATCTTGGGAAAGGTTCATTAGATTTCCAGATAATAGATGATTGATAGTTCCAACTAAACATTTATAACCTCTATGATGCTTCATCCTCACAAAGTTGTGTAGCTCTGAGTCATAACTATGTGCATGTGAAGTCCACTCACCTTCATATCACTTTTCCTTATTTACAAATACCATGTCAGCTTCTAGGAAGGCAAATAAAATTCCAATATTTGTACATATAAATCCCATATACATTTATATACACTTAAAAAAGAGAAAAAGACTCCTCTTCAGTTTTGGTGCGTTGTGAGTTTGAGGAGAACTCACAACGCACCATTATTCAGCTTTTGCCTTGTGGAATACTCTCATTGTGGTAGAAAATGTTCAGAAATATCACATCCATGAATTTTTTTTGTCATTATTTTACTGAGAAGAAATGAGAAACTATAAAGAATGGAGAAGAATAGTCTGGGGAAAGGACAAGACGTCCTTAAGAAAGAGAAGCAAAAAATGCCAAAAATGGAATTAGACAACTAATCAAACCAAAATCAGGCCTTTTCAAAAGATGTGCTTTTAGGCAGTGACCTGACTTGATTTGTCAGCGTATTTATTTAGTTGTCGTTTCTCCAATTTCAACTCCAACCATAAGATGTAATATATTGAAACATGGGGTTGTTTTTCCCTGCATGAATGAGTTAATTATGTTAATGATGACATGATGTAATAAGAAAGGTATCTGCATCATGATCTCCTGTTTGCTCCTGTGATAATCACTATGACATAATGTATGGGTTTCTTTTTCCCAAAATTAACTTCCTGTACATGTATTCTTTATTTTTATGTTAATTTGTTTTTTTATATCTAGCTATCCACTCTTTTTACTTCTCTTTTTTCCCTTAATGAGATTTTTTGGACAGAAAAAATTTAACCATCCAATGTGTAGACAAATTAGGTCGTTTAATAGGTTCATCCAATTTGTGGACAGACCTTTCCAGCTTTGATTTTTCTTTATTTTTGTGAAATGTAAGGTCTAAAGTAAGCTTTTTATATGAGCTTGTGTTAGCTAGTTTGTCTATCATCCCAAAGCATCTCTCCTTACACCTATGCCTTTGGGCAAACGCCGGCTGAATGAATCATCTAATGGGTGAGCTGGTGACTCTGTTTCTGATACGTTGAGAAGGCATTATTGAGTAATGACAATTATCAAATTAGGGATTGCTATGTGAACATTTGTCTCACGGCTCCTCTTTGTATTTTTCCTAATTCAGTTCATGTGATCTCTGCACTTAACCCATCGCTTGACTTAATGGCATGGATGGGCATGAGGTGGTTCCACTTACATATGCAATCATCTTCATTTCCCTTCACTCAACAAGTTTATTTCTGCGGGCTAAGAGTGGTTTGCCCTTGTATCCTTTTCTGCAAGTAAGATTCGATACATAAAACTTCTGTTTATGGGTCTTGGCAGGCCAGTTTGAAAGAGTTAATGAGGCATCAATGTGAAACACTTCATGCTAAGTTGTGTTGTTTTCTCCAACATTCAGACATATAGGAGATCCTGAGCATTGGTAAGTATTGCACGAAGATATAAGGTGCAGCAGTTATGATCTAGGGCTAGCCATAGGCCATCAGCTAGAAAATGTAAAGCAACCATAAGGAGTTCAATCCGTATGTTTCTTACGATGCATAGCTGATATGGATTTCTTGTTGTTTAATGTAACTGATACGTGTGTGTCAGGTTGTAAATGCCCATTTTGTTTGATAGTTCTTTTTCTTTTTTCTTATTTATCTCATATGGGTGTTTGGGTTGGACTTATAGGCTGTGTGTCGGTTTGTGTTCCTGTAAAAACAAAGAACGTTCTTTTCATTAGTTATATATGGAAGTTTTGACCTTTGACTGTTATATGATATATATGTTGAAATGCAAACTTGTCAGGTCTTTAACTTCACCCATGTTTCTGCATCATTTGTAAGGTAGATAGGTTTGAATAATGCTTGTTGTGTCACTGGTTTTCTCATTCTTAACCTGGTTTCAGGAGTACCCAGAGTATGTAGCATACACAACTCCACTTTTTTTCTGCGATGACTGGCTGAATCTTTATCTTGACAAGTACCGTATGCATCAGGATTATGATTCTCTTGAAGATAGAAATGAAGTATGTTGCTCCGACTATCGTTTTGTATACATGGGAGCAAAAGGTTTGAGCATAGATGCGATAAGCTCTTTCTTGTAAGACATAGATACTACTATCCTGTATTTCCTTATACAAGAACACTGTAATATGGGATGAATGGTTAATTCACATGCACCGAGTTTCAAACATTTGGTTCTGTATCCAGGTACATGGACTCCTCTTCATGCTGATGTTTTCAGGTCTTATAGTTGGTCAGCAAACGTGTGTGGCAAGAAGCACTGGTATTTTCTGTCGCCAGATCAATATCACCTCATGTTTGACAGGTGTGAATAGATTTTCTTGCAATAAGGATCCATATGCGTTTCTTTAGGGATTGAAAACCTGTCCTTAACTGATGAGGAAATCTGATTACAAAAAATAAAGAACTTGGGTACACAAAAAAAGTNAATGTGAAACACTTCATGCTAAGTTGTGTTGTTTTCCCCAACATTCAGACATATAGGAGATCCTGAGCATTGGTAAGTATTGCACGAAGATATAAGGTGCAGCAGTTATGATCTAGGGCTAGCCATAGGCCATCAGCTAGAAAATGTAAAGCAACCATAAGGAGTTCAATCCGTATGTTTCTTACGATGCATAGCTGATATGGATTTCTTGTTGTTTAATGTAACTGATACGTGTGTGTCAGGTTGTAAATGCCCATTTTGTTTGATAGTTCTTTTTCTTTTTTCTTATTTATCTCATATGGGTGTTTGGGTTGGACTTATAGGCTGTGTGTCGGTTTGTGTTCCTGTAAAAACAAAGAACGTTCTTTTCATTAGTTATATATGGAAGTTTTGACCTTTGACTGTTATATGATATATATGTTGAAATGCAAACTTGTCAGGTCTTTAACTTCACCCATGTTTCTGCATCATTTGTAAGGTAGATAGGTTTGAATAATGCTTGTTGTGTCACTGGTTTTCTCATTCTTAACCTGGTTTCAGGAGTACCCAGAGTATGTAGCATACACAACTCCACTTTTTTTCTGCGATGACTGGCTGAATCTTTATCTTGACAAGTACCGTATGCATCAGGATTATGATTCTCTTGAAGATAGAAATGAAGTATGTTGCTCCGACTATCGTTTTGTATACATGGGAGCAAAAGGTTTGAGCATAGATGCGATAAGCTCTTTCTTGTAAGACATAGATACTACTATCCTGTATTTCCTTATACAAGAACACTGTAATATGGGATGAATGGTTAATCCACATGCACCGAGTTTCAAACATTTGGTTCTGTATCCAGGTACATGGACTCCTCTTCATGCTGATGTTTTCAGGTCTTATAGTTGGTCAGCAAACGTGTGTGGCAAGAAGCACTGGTATTTTCTGTCGCCAGATCAATATCACCTCATGTTTGACAGGTGTGAATAGATTTTCTTGCAATAAGGATCCACATGCGTTTCTTTAGGGATTGAAAACCTGTCCTTAACTGATGAGGAAATCTGATTACAAAAAATAAAGAACTTGGGTACACAAAAAAAGTTATATTGTTCACAATAAAATATCTTTTACATATCAAAAATGAAAGGTAGAACTATAGAATTTTGTCAGGGAAGACATCGTAGTATGTGGTATATCCCATCTGGTCTTTCATAATATTTTGCTTAAATAGGGCCCAGGGCCAACCCAAGTACCAGTCATACTTGCATGAGAAGTTTTATAACCTATTGAAAATAAACTAGGGCATCCATAATCATTGTGAAATTTAGAAATGGCTTGGGGATGAATTGATCGTTACTGTCATCCAAGAAAAATAGACAGTAATAAATAGCTCTGGACAAGTTCACCTTTGAAAGATGACCTATTCCTGTTGCCCCAAATTGCACCACATCAATACGGCAAGGGGCAGTATTCTGTGTTATCCTTTTCCTTCAACTGATAGACCTCCTCCTCCAACTAGAAGGTATGTCATCTCTGGATCTGAGGAACACCCAAATTAATCCAAACACATTTGACAATGCGTATGCTGATGAATAACCGACTATGCTTCCTCTTTGTAGCTTCAGTATAGTCTGCAAGCGTTTTACCTTGTCTTAATATTGCAGTTAATAGCAGCTTAGATTGCCATATTTCTGCACATTTATTCTTAACTTATCTTTTTTATTCTAGTATAGAAAATTGGATGAAAGAGAAAAACTGATATAGTGATAACAAAATTAAGAGGAATATATTTGACTATTTGTTGTTATTGTTTTTGGTGGTGTTATGATAGAGTTCACATTTTTGGCCTCATATAGGAATATGAAAAGTTCTGTATTTAACATCCTTGAGGATGTTAGTGAGGCAAAATTCCCTGGTTTTAATAAGGTAATTCGCCTCTTTCCAGTTTTGATGAAATTTCTTTACACTGCAGTTCTAGATATGTAACGTATTCTTTTCTTTGTGCATGTCATGACCCCAGGCTATCTGGTGGGAGTGCACTCAAGAACGTGGTGAAATAATTTTCGTTCCTAGTGGATGGTATCATCAAGTTCATAATCTGGTATCGTTTCCCGAATCCTATCAATATGCAAGTAACAGTAACTATTCTAGCTTTGAATCTCTTTCTTCCTTGTCGTGTACTCTGTGAATATCTCTAAAAACGTGAAATTATCAAAGGTCTGAGTTTCCAGTCAGTTTTAGTGCTTTTCACCCAAGGATATATCTCGGTAACTGCTTTATGCACAGTGGGTTAGGGGGACTGGATCTTTCTGGGAGGATTAGTCCAGATTGTGATACCAGCTCCGTTGTGCCTCTGCCCACAGTATACCGAGAAGAAATAGAAAAATAGGATAGAGCTTCTAGACAACTTGTCAAACGAGATATGTACGCTGCACCTCACCAATGAAAGTCAAAACCGCTACCCGTTTTCGTTTTAGATTCTTGAAGGTCTGCTGTTTTAATAGATTGGGCTGTTCTTCTAATTATGATCTGACTAAGCTTAAATAAGGTTAACCTCTGCTTGCTCGAGCCTGCCTGAACTTGACTTCTGCCCAAGAAACATGTACAATTTCATCTTTTCTTGCTGTTTGGTGGTCAAATTCTCCAGATTTTTTGCTAGCTTGACCCTACCCGCTGTGTTTTTGTGTATGATTAACTAAGATGAGAGGAACATAAGATGCGACTCTAGTACATATTTTAGCAGGAAATGCACTATCTTTCATAATATCATTGTTTTTTGGTGCTGTGTGACATTGGCAGCAATGTATGATTATGTTTCTGCTGATGTCATAAATGCATTCACAATGGTTTCAGGAAGGTACAATATCAATAAATCACAACTGGTTCAATGCCTATAACCTTTCCTGGTTGGTAAGTACAGTCAAGGCCATGACCTATTTTAGAATGAGTCTTACCCAAATGTTGTAAGGTCAATGTTTGTATTAAATTGAAATATGTTTCATGGAATGTTCTTATTTTCTCAGTGGAATTTGCTCTTGAGAGACTATGCCGAGGCTAAGGAATACATTGAAGACATCAAGGACATATGTGATGATTTTGAGGGACTCTGCCAGCGCAATCTTGCGGCTAACACAGGTGCGCCATTAAATTATTTGTAGGATTTATATCTCATAGCAGCATTATAAAAGGACATCTTTTTTAACACTTTTTCGAGCTTTAATGATTCGAATAATTTTTCTGGAGAAATATATGATTGAATGATCTTCTCCATAGGGTATGGCATCAATTCTGTTTCATTTGTACATCAAAATTTGCTTCATGTTCATAACCCATTCTTGGGTATGCTTCCTATATCGGTGACATTGTTGTGAGGGAAGGTTTTTTAATAGAAGTCAAGATTCTTATTCTCTCTATAAATACTGTTTACCATGTTTCTTGGTCTTGTTATGAAACCACCACTGGAGCATGTCTTAAAATTTGCTTAACCTTTTACGTGGCAGATCCAGCTTCCTTGGTTGTGGGGAAATTTCTATCCTCAACTTTTGGCCAATTTAGACCTCAGCAAAACATAAACATCTGGGGTACAAATATATAATATTTCGTATCATGGGATAAACTTGTGTAAATTACATCCTTATTTTGATGATTTGAGAATTTACTGTTTTAAACAGATAATGTGGTGGGTTGCCACTTAGTATAACAACTAATCTGTGTCGCCGTCAAGCCAACACATATCTGGATTAAATACTGTAGAAGTGCTAAGGGGCCCATTGCATATGTTTCCATTCCTGAAAGAAGGCAAGGACTTGGCAAGACACTCCGGCATACCAAAAAAAGTCACATGCTAACCCTTTGTGGGAAGTGATGCTTCTTCACCCCATGTGGTCAATGTGATTAATTTTTGGAACATTTGAAGCATTGGTGACCTTCAAATATTTTGAGGTGACCACTAGCTGCTAGCTGTACTTGTAGATCCTGCTTCCTGAAAGGCGTTGCAATGTGCAAGCCTCTCTGGGAAATGGATACATGGTTGAAGGTTGTATATGTCTGATTGGATTTTATTTTCTTTCAAGAAACCTTGGTAGAAGAAGGGTACAAAGTGGATATTTTTTGGCAGGGTGATTATTGGATGGATATAACTAAGCATTGACTTACCTATATAAATAGGTCTGGTGTCTCAGGGCGGCTCCTGAACTGTGTGATTGTATATTCTGTGCTGGCTTGGAGTTTAAATAATTCAAGTAGTGTTTTTTGGGCTACAATTGGAAAGCATTGAATACTTTTGCTTGAGAAGATTTTGGAATGGGATACAGTGGTTGAGTTTGGTTAGCTTGAGTAGATTCTGAAGAGTTGGAGACAATTTTTGCTGGAAGAAGATTTCAATATTTGTTTGTTTGATACTTCTTTGATCAGGCCATAACAATAACACTTAACACCACATGGGTGTGGAACATGCAAATGTATGTAGCAAGAAAAATGTGAAGAACCTCTCTTCCTTAGACTCAATTGTGCAAATTCTTGTGGCTGAAAAACTTCGTCTGAAAATCTAAAGTATAAGTGTTTTCTGAAACCAATCACATATATTCCTCTATTTCCAGCCCCGTTCTGCTTGGAGGTTGCTGAAATAGTGAAATGAGATTCAGCTAATCAATTCCCATTGCTAGTTTTTTTCAATATTGAATTGGTGTTAATTCCTTCTTCTTGTTTATCTTTTATAATGTAAAATTATTTGTTTTTATAGGCATGAATTTCTGCGATTTTTTTGTCTTCATGGTGCACTTTTCCTTTGCCAACTTGGTCCAATTTTCCCATCTTGCGAAGAATGACAAAAATTTCATCTGGACTTCAATCCAAATAGCACGGCATGTAGTTTTCAACCTTGAATCTCTACGTAACATTGCATTGAAGATGAAATCCAGAAGTCTGGTGGAAAACTGGAGCAACTCAATTGATTTCAGGAAAACCCTTGAGGATCACACATTCATGGGACTATGTCAAGTTTTGGGAAGGACATATGGGATGATACATGAGCAATGCGAAGTAAGTTATGATATAAAGCCAGCTTTAGTGGATGATTTGGACTTGGAATTTATTGAAACTTCTGGTCTCCATGTTTATAGCCCTGAAGATCTAGTTAAGTTTATAGACTCTGCTTTTACAAAACTAATGGGTGGTAGTGCTGCTAATAAAGTTTTGTTAGCTGATTTGGACATACTTGGAAGCTAACTGCAGTTCCGGCTTTTTAAGGAGAACTAACTGATCCGCAAGGGGTTGTCCCCACTTTTTTGGGTGCATGCTTCGACATACACGGAGTGAAAGAATGTGATCCCGGAGGGAAAGGTTATCATCGGATTAGAAGTTTAAGATTTTGAGATATGGAGTCTCACAACATTTAAAGCTGGTAGCAAGCTCTTGCAATGCATGCAGCCATCAAATCATTTTCGGATTCACTTAATGTGATAGAGCTACATAAAGAACTCACAGCAGATGAGTCCAGCAGCTGCAAGCACTTTGTAAGTCGTATGCTGGGGGTTCACCACTTTTTCCTGTCTGAAACTTGAACTCCTGTATGTTTTGTTATGATAGAACTTGTGATGACTTTGCAAGTCAAATCTACATTTGAGTGATGGGAAATTTGGAATCTTACAATCTGTGTGCGGTACAAATGTGAAGTCTAGGGAATTAAATGGTCGACAGTTTTTGTTCTTTCCTTTTTATTGGTAATGGGGAATAGTGCCAACCACACGACTTCTGGACTCATGGCCAACACCTACCCTAATGCACACAGCCATTGCTAACCACTTGTATAGCTTAAAACTCGAGTTTTAACGTTTTGCCCTTTGGTCTACCATTGAATCAACTTGTGCGAGTTCAAAAGTTTCTTTTTTTTTTTTGATGTTTGTCGTTTTACTCTGAATTTAAAAGTAGCTTTATCTCCTGCATCGAGAAATTGGGCCACTTCCTAGATCTTGTCCATCAAAGTGCTGGTTTTGCTGCTTTCCATGATAAAGCCTCTTTGGTGCTTTTCTAGTTCCAGTCATTGGCATCTTAATTATTAGGACCAAGCATTCGCTTTCTCTGAACGTGTAAGCTGTTCCACCAGAGGTTGCTTGCCCTTTGGGTCATTGCTTGCAGTTGCAAGTTGCAACCACACTGTCCCTGAGAGAGTAACTTGTTGAAAATGCAGCTCAGTTGTGTGGCCAACTCTACCTTTTCCTTCTCTTTAGGAATATTACATTTTTTGTCCCTTGCTTATCAGGTGAATGTCAATTTGGTCCCCATGGATTGAGTCTCAATTGAGGCAAATGTTTCACTTGTCTTATATTGTGATGGAAAATATACATGTGAGCTTAAGGTCAACTCTATCACCATTAATGCTCCTCCAAGCCTACCACAGGTTTGATTTACGAAATTCATTGTAAACCCTTTAAATCCCAACAAAACCATCAACCACTAGATTACTCTAGATTTCGAATGATGATCACTCATCCCAATAGTCACCCATAACCTTTCTGATGATAGAAGATGCTCAAGGAGGGGCAATTGATGCTATGGAAGTTTTAGGGGGTGTGATAGTGTTTGACGGAGATGGTTAGTTCGGTTGCAGTGGTTGTTACAGCAGTGGATGGAGTTGCTGCAATGGTGATGGTGGTGGATCTACTGGAGAATTAAAATGTGTGGGTTGCTGAGGTTACTCATCTGCATTTTGCAAATGACCTATATACCCTTAGCTACATAACTATTTTCCACCCCACAAACAAGCTGTCTTCATCAATTGACCAAGTTGAGTGAGTTTTGAAACACCAGGTTTTTCTGTGTCACAGTTGAAAAACAGGGTCTAAACTGACTTTACACCTAAACCTTTGAGTTCCTTTTTGTTTATTAGTTTAGTTGGAGGTGATTAAAGAGTAGCTTAAGTTAGATTAGGTGGTGGTGCTGACATTGACCTAATAGGTTAACAAAACATCTGGCTTAAGCATGGAGGACTTGGAGTAGACCTTACGAGTAATAGAAGACAAAAAAATAAATTCTATACAAGTCTCTTTGTAGTTTTTTTATGTACTCATTTCTTGCCAAAGCCCATGTTCTTGGTTTGAGAAACTTGCTTGTTTTTATTAATTGGAGTGTTGGTTGACTAAGCCTTAACAGTATTTTAAGCATGAAAACCAACCTGTATCGGTGGTATAACTTGGATACAGGCATTTTATAATTGATTCTTTCCTTGTTTGAATGCTGGTTACAGGGTAGGTATAATTGTATATTGTTGAAAGGTGGTTCACTAGTTAACTATGTGCCAGATATGTTTCATTTGTTTTATGACCTAGAATTTTCTCAACTACACGGCCTTTTTAGACTCAAACCTCGTGTTCAGACAATCATCCATAAATCACATATACGGATTAAACCTGGGTTTTATGCGGGTAGGAAGACTCCAACTCATAGTATGCAGATTTACTTCTCATCCCTTGTTCGACCAGTAAATCAATTTATCCTGGTATACAAGGCAATATCACCCCATTCTAGACTCAAAATAATTTTTTCCTTTTATCACAGAAGCACAAAGAATTGATATATGACCTACCCCAATTCAAACCCTAGGGCAAAAAAAAAAAAAAAAAAAAAAAAGGTAAAAGAAGAGGAAACAAAAATAAATTACTCTCTACACTACGCCATTTTCTTTATAAACACCTTGCATTCCTTCCAGGACCACCATAGTAAAAATAATCTCCCCATACACCATTCCTACCTGCTTTTATGTCATAACAATTTGGATGATCAGCCAAGAGATGAAGGTTTGAGAGAGGAATCAAGCTATTGTCCCAATCAACAACCTGTAAGTTTCTGAAGTAAGATGCTTTTCGAAACCCTTCATCTGCAAAATGACCACTGCCCATTTGTGTTGATGTGTGATATCCCAATGATCTTGAGTTCACTATCTCTCCTCCAAACTGAACCATGCTTGCATGGCTCTGTAAATGGGTGAATAAGAATGATGGCCAGTACCCGATTAGCAACCCGGATCCGAATTCCAGCCACCAATGTCCATGTTTTGGGTCCTAAGAGAACAATGTAGCTTTATTATATGTTTAAAACTAAAACTAAAACCAAAACCAAAATCAAACTAAGTCTCGTNTTGGGTCCTAAGAGAACAATGTAGCTTTATTATATGTTTAAAACTAAAACTAAAACTAAAACCAAAACCAAAATCAAACTAAGTCTCGTGTCCCAATCATTTGGGGTTGGCTATATGAGTCCGTTTTTGCTACAGTAAAAAGATTTCATTCAATACTATTCAATAATAAAAAAAGATTTCATTCAATACTATTCATTTCGTTAGACCTAAATATTTTTATATCTTTTTTTATTATTTCATTCAATACTAATTTAGGTCTAGCGCTACTTCTAGTACCATTAAGAAAAATTCTATCACTTTTTTAACTAGTGTCTCCATTGGCCTTTGTTGAATATGACCAAACCATCTTAATCTATTCTCTCTCAACTTATCCTTAATTGTAGCTACTCCTACCATTTATCTAATGTAGTCATTTCGTATTTTATCCTTTCTAGTTTTTCTACACATTCACCTTAACATTCTCATTTCTTTTATACTCATTTTGTCATTATGTTGNTCCATTGGCCTTTGTTGAATATGACCAAACCATCTTAATCTATTCTCTCTCAACTTATCCTTAATTGGAGCTACTCCTACCATTTATCTAATGTAGTCATTTCGTATTTTATCCTTTCTAGTTTTTCTACACATTCACCTTAACATTCTCATTTCTTTTATACTCATTTTGTCATTACATTGTTTCCTAATTGTCCAAAATTCTATCTCATGAAACATTGTTGTTAGTTCAATTTGCTTTATTATATGATTCTTCCTTAAAAAATCACAAACTCGCTTTGATGTAGGATCTGCTAGGGAAATTCTAGCAAAGATGTGAATTATTGTTTTTGTTGTTTGGGCTAGTTTTTCTTTTTTTATTACGAGGAACCCCACTCATAATTGAGCCAGGTAAATCCCATGTGTCACTTTGCTAAATTTTTGTCCATAGTAGACCTTGCATTAAGGGGGATCCATTTATATGGAATGGAGCCCACTTAAATTCATATCGGGTAATCTATTATTAAGGAAAATTGAAAAGACGTGAATCAGATTCAAATCTAAGATTGAGACGAGTGACTAGTTATGCACTTGTGTTTAGCATTTGGGTTTATATGAAATGACACAATATTAAAGAGGAAAGTATATAGAGGAAAGAATAAAGAAATTGGTTTTACACAGCTAGACCCAAAAGCCAGTTGGTGTCAACTAGTTAGAAATATTCAAGTGATGGGAAAGAAAAAGAAAAGAGAAGTGGACTCGGTGGAGACATCTTTTACAGGAAAGAAGAGAATCTTGTGCTTTAAGGCTAAGAACAGGGTGGGAAATAAAGGAAAATTTGAAAAGTTAACGATGCTGCCTAACTATCAACATGACACAGTAAATGTAATGATCCGTGTCACCTGACAAGACATGATATTATCTACTTTGAGTGCCCATATACCCTCACGGTTTTATTCTTCTAGGGATTCACCTCAAACCCCATAGGAACAAAACTGTGAGGGTGTATGAACATCCAAAGTAGACAATATCTTGACAGTTGGGACGGATCGTTACAGTAAAAATAGAGAAGTGTAACCAATGACAAAACTTTCATCTTCATGAATTCACGTCCACAACGTATCATTTAGACGGATAAATAGTTGCCAGTTCAGTAAGCTACTATGATCGTGGAGAAGATTAGCTAAAAACAAGGACATGACGGTTTGGTGCCTTTTTTTTTTCTTTTTCAAAAGATGCTCACTAAAAAGTTCACCAAATAACTGTAAAAACTTCCTCAAATAATGTCATTTATCACAAGGAATTGTCAAACTCACCTTCCAGATCATTATGCCAATGTCAAATTGTCTGCCATTGAAAGAAGACCTTGGAGATATTGCTGCTCCAATGGCTATCTTATTGTTGGTTTGGACAAAACCTGAGCATAGTAAGTTGTAGCATCCAGTGGCTTGGTATGCATCCGTCTGTAGATGATTATGAATTTCTCTTTTTAAATTTCTGTAACTGTACAAGGAAGTAAAAAGATCTATGTAATAAAATACTTACTGTCCAATAAGTAAAGAACCTAGGATAGTTGTCTCCATATAGTGCTGGGCTAACCTGGACAGATGAATATAATAACTCAATAAATGTTGTACATTGAATTTCAAAATATATTATTACAGGATTCAGATTCCATTCTGTACATTTTTTTTCTCAATTTCTCTCATTTTTAGGTCACTGCCTGTATATTGCTACGACCGACTAATATATCAGGATCCCAATTGAATTCATGACGGGTGATCTACCGTCGAGAAAAAAAATGTGTTTTGAGGGAATCTAACCTTTTGTCATGTATATTTTATGAAAATACATCAGTAATAGAAGTTACGACTGAATGAGGTGTCAATTAGCATTGATTTTAACAAATTGAGGCCAATTCCGACTTTTTGAATCACATTAAGTTGTAACTTTGATTTGATTGAGTTGTAACTTGACCCGATTGGACCGTAACGTTTAGTATCTTGGTCTTTTCCATGTTTTATGTAAAGGAAAGTGAATGCCACTTGGGTTTCAGAAAATGGGATAGTTTGGCAAAGATTATGTATGTAAAAACAAAAATTTGTGTGAATAAATAGATATTCGAAATTTAAATGATATAATCAATCTGCATACTATCATAAGTCCTCTTAAAGGGCGTACCCAAGTGCACAAGGCTCCCACCATTGCGGGGTATAGGGAAGGTTAGATGTACACAGTCTTACCCTTACAATTGGAGAGGCTGTTTTCGTGACTTGCACCCGTAATCTCTAAGTCACAATGAAACAACCTTACGTTGCGCCAAGACCCGCCCTCGTCATAAGTCTTCTTGCTTAACAAAAATGATGATAGATTTGAGAGTTATGGGCATACCTGCCAACCAGCTTCAATGGTATTAAGATCATCACCAAAGGAGCCAGAGATGACCCATACTTGTGACAGGCTGAATTCATATTGATCTGTTACCCGAGGTGTCCAAACATTTAAGCTAGCCTTTGCTCCATAGTACTGATCTCCATTGACAAAAGCAACTGCATGCTGTTATCCACAGAACTATCAGTTCTTAGATGCCCAAACTATACATGTACATAAATTTCGCCAATGTCCCGTTTATTGTCTATTTTTTAAGCAGTCAGTTCCAAACCCGGATAAAAAAGAGAGTTCTTTCAAGTAGCTGAATGTAATGTTTGTCGGATATTTTAGAATAGAGAATTTATTTAGGTTGCAGATAACGAGCGTAAAACTTGTTAAACGAAACAAATATTATAGAATGTATGCATAGAGAGAACATTCTTAATATGAACATATACATTTTTTTTATTCTTTAGTCCTCTGATTGCAGCCAATTGAGGGTATAATGTTAATTAGATACATCAAACAATATCATTTCATTGCTTGTTTCCTTCACTTTTCCTCCAACAATTTTCTTCCCTCTTTGATTGCCAAGAAAATGAAGGAAAATATAATTCTCTCTGATGAGACAGGGTATATTTTGTCTTCCCTAAATAAGACTAATGGCTTCTTGTTTCTCTTGAATTAATCATGAAAATTACTTCATTCTCTCTCAAGAAAATAAATTGTTTTCTGTCTGAGACTAACCTCATGATCACTGCTCATTGTATCATGGCGTACGCCTCTTCTAATTTTTCTTCCATATCTTCTGATTGAACTAGCTCTTAGAACATCATTCTCTGTAGTTCTTCTTATTGGAATAGTTCCTTCTGGGCATGACTCTCCAGAATCTCTCCATAGCTGAAAGCTCTCTGTCATTTCATTTGTGGAGTCTAGGCCTTTTGGCCTCTCTGGCGGTTCCTGCATTTACAAGAACAAGTTGAACTAAAAAAAAAAAGAACAAGTTGAAGTCTTTCAAGTTTCAATTTTATTGAAAACAAACTTTTTAAAATACCAAAAAATTGATTTGCCTCAATAAAAACTAGTTGGAAGAAGGGGGGAAAAGGAAAAGCAGCAGATTCTCTTTCCCCCCTAGTGTGTGTGTGTGTGTGTGTGCTGTCTTGAGCTTGAAGAAATTGGAATATGTTTATTCAAGTTATCTTGGGGGGAAAGACTCTCTTTTGCCTCTGAAGTTTAATTTTGTTTTCTTGGGAAAAGTTTATAAATCACATTTTCCATGGAAACAAACAGGAAATGATCTGAATTGAAGTACCAATGGCTTCTGTCCTTTGAGTTTGGGGTGATCAAAAGCTGGTTGAACATGAGATAGAACACAATCTATCAAATCACCATCAGGACTCTGCAACCAAAAAAAACGACACAAGAAAATGTCAAAACTCAACCCCAACAAGAAAATGTCAAAACTTTCCCAACAGAAAACCATTAGAGAGAGACAGAGAAATGCCTGAATGGTCTTGACTGCAGACTTGTTGATTTTCCTCAGGTACCCTCTTATTCTCTTCAACCTCTGCAACTCCTGACCTGGCCGGAAAGTTTGGTTTGCCGGCAGCCGTTGATCGGAATCTGACTTAATGGATAGTGACAGGACAGGGGTGAGAGAAGAAAAAAGAAGGAAAGAAAGAAATGTGAGAATGATTGGATTTGGGGCTGGTTTTGGAGGTGTAGAAGAAGCCATTTTTGAGGAATGTGTGTGTGTCGTTGTTTCTTCTGTTACCATGGCTTGTGTTTGTATGTACTAGTGTTGTCTTCTACTATGAACAGCAACACAACAAGATGGTTTATACCTAAAATTTGTCCATGGAAAAAGAGCATCTCTCTGCAAATACATACAAAGCAGAAGAGACATTCAAAGAGTGAGAGATTTGAGCCAAATCACTGCCCAACTATTTTCAAAACTTGTTAAAGACCCAGGTGGACAAGTATGAACTATGAACAACTCTCTCTCTCTATAGAGGTAGATTCTAATGCTTTGTTTTGTGTTCTGACACACAGAACGTTCAGGCATGAGCTTATTTAAAATAGACCATGATTGTGGGGTTTTACTCACAACAGGTTGTGGTCAAAAGATACACTATTTTTACTTAATCTAGTGTAACATAATTATTAAGCTTTCAAATTATATTTAACATGAGTCAAAGCCAATACATAGGAGGAGGAATACCTCACAGAGAGAGACAGAGAGAGAGAGAGAGAGAGGAGGGGGAGGGGGGAGTGTGTGTTAGTTTCCAGGATATGTGTGTGTTTGCTTCAAAGTAAAGAAGGAATGAAAAAAATAACGCTGGACCACCTTATTCTTTTTATAGTCATACTTGAATATATATTTTAGATTTGTTATTATCATCTAAAAATAATATCATCCCGGCTGCATAGTATATTTAATATTACATACAATTTCTTAAATAAATTCATATTTTTGGTGAGTTTAAATAATCCAATTGGGATGTATTTGCCCAAAATATATTTTTACTCTCAAGTATATTCAGAATATAAATATCATTATTTATCTTAAGGGTTTTTTTAATAATTTAATATTTATACTATCATTCAATATTTTGTCCAAACAAAATATTAGATGAGATAAATGTAGAACCTACTACTTCTTAATACATAACTCAAACATGGGATGATGAATTATTATCGCTATAATTAGTCCAAGGAGTAGATGGATGGATAAGGGATGAATGGTATTATCTAATCCGATCTTTTCTAATGCTTAAACCAAATACACCTAGCAGAACTTCAAAATAGATTTAGCATGAGCCAATTGATAACTAATCTGTTGTCCTTTGCTTTTAAGGAAATAGTTTTCTATTTTGGCTGTCCAATGTAGGGCTGTTAATCAAGTCTATCTTTACAAGTTTGAATTGACATTGTAGAACTCTTATTTTTAAACGAATTTAAAAGATTATTCAAGTTCGGTTCATTCGAATTGTTTGACTATTTTACATATAAACGAGTTGAGTTTTTCGAATTTAAACTGAGCATTAAGACTCGTTTTTTTAAACGAGTTTAAAAAATTGTTCAAATTTGATTAATTTAAAAAATAAATTGAACCCAAATCAAATTTAAAACTAGTTAAACTCGAGAAACTCGGTTCTATTATAACGGCTAGCCTAATGTGCATAAATTCTCACACACATATCTTGTCTATTGGAGGTCATTTTCTGATTGCTTACTTTCAATTTTTCTTTTTCTTTCTTACAATTCACTGTATACATAACCATATCCCTTGAATGGACTTGACTACGGTGTCGAATTGTTTTTTTGGTATCGTACCTCTAAATTTTATTATTTCAAACGAGTATTTTTATAATTTTTACTGGTTATTTTACGACAAACAAATTACAATTTTTATGGTAAAAATATTTTAAAATCAATTTGCAAGTATGATAAAAGTGATAAAAAAATTACAAAAGTAATGAATGTTGTTATGGTACCCATTTTTTTTTTTTGTTTAACAGTCACGGGTGTTTGGTCAACTTATATGTATTTCAATTAATTTTCTTATTGGTCTCGTCAAAAACACATCTTTTGTGCCAAAATTAAGATATTCATAATTTTTTTTTTTTTTATGTACCATAGACTTCTCCCCTTGAATATACATACATGTGTTAGTACAGATTGTACCAAAGTCTAAAAGTTTTGTAAATTAGGATACAAGTTTTGGAAGTTTGTTTACAACAAAAAATTTATAATTGATATTAATACATTTATAATTTTTTTGTCATGTTAGAACTTTTAGGGTCGAAGATATAATTTTTGGAAATTAAGTTATAACTTTTAAAAATACTTGAAATCAATTCTAAAATTGTTAGGGTTCACAACATCTTCAAAAAAAATTATAAATTAGCCCTAAAATTTGTACAGAAAAGTGTAAAAACTTGTAACAGTACGATATTAAAATTTTTTCCTCGTTAAGCAAACTTCTTATATTAGTAGTACAATGATCAGAAGTGTCTGATACAACCACTGAGGTGGAGTAAATGTAAAGCCGTAGTGGACATTTGGTGGACCATACCAACTTACCTTGTACATGATGGTGTCTGAAACATCATGATGATTGCAAAATGACATCCTTATCCCCCAATCAGTGGAATCATATTTTAATTTAGGATTTTGGCCCAAAACAAGTTATTTTATCGTCATTAAAAATTTAAATATAAACAAATTGAACGATTGTGATTAAAAATAAATTTAAATTGTAATAAAAATTTAAATAATTTGGGCCATTGTTTTATTTTATGTAAAAAAAATTATGTGCTTTCTTATATGAATGTTAGAGAATTAGCCTAATCAAGGCTTCTTTTTAACCTAACTATTTGTAAAATCAAAATATATGAAATCATCGGTAAATAAAGATATTAAACTTTTTTTTTTAAGTTTAACGGTTAGGGGTTTCTAAATCAGTTTATGTGCATATCGACTAATCCTCTCTTTCGGTTTGATCAAAAGTAGATTATTCATGTCGACTGTAAGGAGTTGTCAAAATTTGAACTTAAAATATCTGAGTTTACAACTTATCTATGTTACCACTTGAGCTTCCCTTGGAGTTAGGAGTGTCAAAATATAACACGATTTGTTAACACGATATGAAGTTAGAGAATTTGAGTCTTTTTTAAGCCACCTATTTTGTAAATAAGTAGACCCAACATGATACGATTAATAAACGAATCAGATTTGAGTGAAATCAATCAAAAAAACACACAACATGACTCATTTACATGTCGGTTATACATGATTGATACACAATATGAACCCGACATGATACGACTCATTAAACATGAAATAATAAATAAATTGAGTATGAGTAGAATACTTTTTTGACACAAATTCATTACGACCTGACACAAACTCACTTTACCCAACATGCATAGGCAGATCTTCAATGTTGGTAGCTGGCCCCCACTAAAATTTTAAAAAAATTTAGGACCTTTTAAAAATTTTTAAAAAAATTAAATTTTGCTTCTGCTAAAATTTTTATAAAATATAGGGTTAGTGTAATTTTGAAACTATCAAAATTAGGGGTGTTCAAATTTTCGATTACCCGCATATTCGACCCTACTGATTGGCTACAACAAAAACATCGGGTAGGCCAACAAATTTTTTTTTAGTATTTTGTAAAAATTGGATAAAAATACGAAATACTCATAAAAATACATATTTCTACTAGACTCTACCAACATATATGTGTGTGTGTAGAAACCCTACAATCCTTACGCTTACTCCTCCTTCTCAAAGTCAGACCCAATTATGATGTATTGATATTTATGACTTTCTTATTGTAATTGTTTATCTATTATCAAATTTATTGTATTTTTTTTAGTGTTACTGGTTTATTATGTTAGTTAATTGGTGCAGATTACTTAATTAAATTATTAAAATGATTTAAAAATTAATAACTAAAAAATATATATTCACCTGATTTTCTACTCGATTGTTTTGAACAAATTCGGGTAGGAATAGTACATTTGATTTGGTAAGGTCGGGCAAGATTTTTTTTTTTTTAACAAAGCATTGGGTAAAAAGTTGGAATACCATAATTCCTACCTGTATGGTAGAGTGAACACCCTTAATCAAAACATAACTTTGGCAGCTTTATTTTCCACTCTCTTTGTCTTCGACGCTTCGTTCGAATTTCAACTCCAAGTTTTTGTCTTTTTGTTTGTATTTTTCACAAAAATTTTCTTATTTAAATAAATTTAAGAAACTATTTTTAATCCTCACAATTCTAAATACGACTAACGAAATTGACACATAATTAGTGGAAATTTACTCTTAGCAAAATTGAGTGATAAATAGGTAAATTTATTAGTCTCTTCAAATAAATAATTTGACACTAACCCCGAATAAATGTTATACGAACTTAGTAAAGACACGTTATCCACAATACGTTATAAACATCATTTACTTTGAATTTTTCTCTCTTGGGTATCCCACTTCTCTTCTTATCTTTTTTTTTTTTTTTTTTTTGTNTCAGCATAGATTATATCTTCTTAAAATTTGTGTTAGTGGTAAGTAATATTTAAACATAAAGGCAATGTCATCTGTTGAGGTGTGGAATTAGTGATATTAAACTCTTCTTTCTGATAAAGTTGGAAAGGCTGCTAACCAGGCTGGCTCTTTCTTTGATTTTTTAAGTAGAATTCTTGAAAGAATGAAAAAAGAAAAAGGGATTTTATAAAGGGTATTGGAATTGATACTGATAAAATCAGAAGATTGGGTTTATAAAGGTTGTGATCTGAATGGAATACTTTCATGATATTAGAGGCAAGTGACCTCTAAGTTTTTCTTTTTTCAATGGCGAGAGAAGTTCGATTCAGTTTATAAGCATTTTGATTAATCTCTTCGTTGTTTTAGTTAAAGGTAAATCATTTACGTCGGGACTAAGATATTCATGATGGATGGAGATAAATCCTTCGTGACTTGATCTCAAGAGGTTACAAAAATTTGAACTCAAGACGTCTAAGTTTACAACTCATTCTTATTAACACTTGACATATCCTTAGTGTTTAGCGTTTGTATCATATATATTCATATGTTTTAAATTCTGCAGATTTATTATCTACGCTAGGAGGGTGTCATGGCAGACTGTACCTTTTTGTTGTGATTATTACAGATACAGCACCATCTTGATAAGTGAAAGGTGACATTGATCATATTTAGAATTAATTATCCGACTATCATATTTCAAAACTTATTTATCTAAATAACTTCCCGCATTTTCAAAAAAACGTGGTTTGAAAATACACTTTCAATATAAAAAAAAATTAAGAGTGTTTTCGAAACATGCTTTTTGAAAACAAGTTTAAAATTACTGTTTTTGGCCTGGTAAATAAGTTTCAAAAGAAGGGTATTTAGACAATATTTGAAGGCATTTTTGAACCTCCAAATGTGTCATGTGTCTAATTCTAGTAAAAATCATAAGAAGAAAAACTACAACAAATTCGCAAATATTAATATATACTATGCTGTCTTCAAGGCTCCAAAA